CCTCTGCCAAATTTGGTGGCCAGCCTGGCCGAAGCGCAGGGCGCAGATTCCCCAGAGCGGACTGAGAAAGCAGTGGTGCCATTTTATGAGAGGCAGTCGGTGCACCGCCAGTCGGAAAGCTTCGCCTGAGCCTTTCTTGAACACGAGGGAGGCAGCCGCCTCTATCCGACGGGGGGACTTTGACTCCCAGAATTCCTTGGCAGACCAGCCACACGAGCATTCTGGGAGCTGACGTCCATACCTTGGGAGGCGTCAAGATGGGCAAATCGTCTCCCAATGCGCCAGCATATGAAGAGGTCTAAAAACAAGAGGGTGGCCTTGAGCATGTACAGAGTGCTTCTGCATTAAGTCTGTCTGGGAATAAAGTAGGAATATAAATTGGCTGCCGTGCCTCTGCAGCGCCAGGTCTGGGCAGAGGGTTTCAGCGAAGGGCCCGGAACGGTGAGCTCAGAGGCCTCGTCCCCTCAAGCGCTCGGGGCAGAGAGGTGGGCGATGCTCACGCGCAAGCGTCTGCTGCCGGAGCAAGCAGCAGCGGGTCCTCCTTCGGACAGCTGGGGGCTTTGACCACTCAGGCGCCAAGAGGGAAGAGCGCCTCTTTCAGGAGGGCCACAGAGACGGCATAAAACAGCTGGAGAGGGCAGAAAGTGGGATCCAGGAAAGAGAGACGTTGCCAAGGTGACCAGTGAGACGCTTGTTGGAGGGAGCTCCCCCCAGTGCACCAGTCTCCCCCCATTGCCATTGCCTCTGGCCAGCCTTCCCCAGCTTGGCATCGTACAGAGCTGCTGGGGTCCAACTCCCAGAAGGCTGCTTGGAAACAAGGGGGGGCAGCACAGCTGGAGGGTGCCAGTTGGGGGAATCTGATTTCAGCCAACTAGACAGATGTGGGGAATCAGGTTGGATGACTCTTTATTTACTACAACTCAGACTCCACACCGGATTGCTCCTCATGACCAACTAATGCCAAGGAGAGACAGATTTTGAGCAATCAGTAAATGTTTAGTTAATCAGCAGACAGGCACATGAGCTCTGAATGAGGGGGCTCCTCTGATCAGCAGTGGCCCAGTCACGGAAGTCCAAGAGCCACGGAGCTGGATGAAACCCAGATCTTCTCTTTCTTTTAAAGCAACATGGAGCTTCCTTTTTGTTTAGTGAATGAATGTATGTCCCTCAGCTTAAATCTCTTCGGGGGCACCTGTGGCATCACCAGTGTCCACAGCAGTTGACGAGGGTCTTGGTGAACAGCATTGCTGGGTTTGCTTTTCTCATGGCTGAGGACAGGCCAGATGTGCCACCCTTGAGGCTGGCTGAAGACCAGAAAATCTGGGTTCCCATCTACCCTCAGTCATCAAGGCTCACGGGGTGCCTTTGGGCCATCCGTGGCCTCCGAGTGCAGCCAACCTCACAGGGTTACGTGTGGGGAGAAACCAGGGGAGGGCGGGCTACATTCTACCCCGGAAGCTCCCGGAAGAACGGCAGAATATAAATCTATTAAATGAATAACTAAGTAAAATAAAAATAAATGACTGGAAACTGTAAATGCAGTAAATTCCTTTTACTGGACTTGCAGGAAGAATTTAAAAAATGCTTAAGAGTCAGAATTTCTGATCCTTGTGCCTGCAATAAAACCAGCAAGATTTACACAGGATTTCTAGTTAAAAGGACATTCTGAAAGAACTGGATTATCACTAGCTTGCACGCTCTCTCTCTCTCTCTGTCACATACGCACACACTCAAGAAAGCATGGGGAGGCGGTAGGGCTGCAACTTGCCTGTGGTGAGATCTTGATGGGCAGAGATGCATGCAGGGAGGGGGTCAAAAAGGTCAAGGTGGTGGCCAACCCAGCGATTAAAGCCCTACCCTTGGCTTTAATGGTGCTTTGGTCGTAGTTGGTGGCCACCATCTTGACCCCTTCCCTGCAGACGTCTTGTTGATTGGCAAGAAATGCTTTTGAGGGTGGAGGAGGACACCCCCCCCCCCCCCCCCGCCATTGTTCATGGCTGGTAGCAAAGGGGACGCTCAGCCTGTTTCTCTGTCCAGGACCTGAACTTTTGCTATCCTCTTGCATTCTCACAGAGACCCGCTCAGCAACCTGTCCTGCTGGGGATGATGGGAACTGCCTTTCAGCCCATCTGGATGATTCCTGACTGCAGAGGGAAAGGCCCTCTGCTCGTCTAAGCTAATCCCTGTTGTGGGGGTACAGCGATCCTGCATCAGCCACGGGAAATGAAAGGAGGCATCTTTGTAATGCGGATGGTCGGAGACCGGCTGCCCAGAGCTTGTCACCGGGGGGGGGGAGCACAACCCACACTGGAGTCCCTGAAACAGATGCTGCTAGCAAGCAGAGAAAAACACCAGCGTTCATCAACATTTTCACACTGTATTTCTTGGAGGTAACAGTGGGATAAACTCAAGGTTTCCCAAAAGAGATTAGCAACAGTAGTAAGGACGAAATGTCCATTTCGCCCCCCTCCCCCGAGTGAAATGGCGAGAGCTTCCATGGGAACACCCCCCCAGCCCCCAACTCCCCAGAGCCCAGGCAGAACCCCAGAAGCCGGGCAGCCTTTTATGATGCAATTTGAACATAGGAACATCCCCTCTGTGCAGAGCTTAACATCCCCAGCTCCTATTAATGTCACGGTTTTTCCAATTTCCTTTCTATAAAGGCACAAGACAGGACTTGCCTCTTTCGGAACTACTATTCATAAGACCCACTGACCCTTTATCATCACCAGTGAGACCTGGAAAGATAAAGGTGAGAAAGCTGATAAACTCTTGCCAGGATGAACCCTGAAGTCTCAGTTTGAACAAGAAGGGTGGGGTGCAATTATCCTATTTGAACCCTCATAAAACAAAACACTTCCACTTTTAGATAATGTGAAGGGCAAAAAAAGCAAATCTACTTGGCGGGGTTGGGCACTTATTTATTGTGAAATATGTCTTACCTTTGTCAATTAAATTGTCAACCATTAATTGCCTATAAGGAATTACTCTAGTATTTCATAGATTGGGACAGGAATTCCTCAGGGATGGTCGAGATGGTGGCCACAGTGATGTGATGGAAGCTCCATCTGTGTGATCGGAACCCCACCTCCATGACACATTAAAACCAGACAGAGCTATGATCGCACCATTGTGACCATCCTCTTGACTTTTTTTAATCATACCTTGAGATATCCCTGGACTGGGATCTCAGTTTACTTTTGAAAACCTATCTAAGGAAAGGCAAGATAGATAGATGATAGATAAATATAGATAGATGGATAGAGGACAGATGGTAGATAGATGGTAGAAGAAAGAAGGAAGGAATAGGGAGGGAGGGAGGGAGAATTTGCAGATCCCTAATCCTGCATTCTATTTTTATACCAGTGTTGACATTTCTAGTGACCATGAAGGAGAAAGGAAGCCCGTGGGTGAATTTAGGATGAAAAAGTGACAGGACTGGAGGCTGCTAATGGGTGGTTCGCAGGCCAAGATTGTGTTGGGAATGCAAGATAAATGGAAAAGAGAAAGAAGAGCGAACTTAAACAGGAAGAGTTAAAAAGATGGAAAGAGTAGTTGGACATATCAGAAATGTAGATGTCTGGCATAGTCACCATATGTCAAACCAGTGGAGAAATTCAGCCAATAACACTGGTTTCTAGTATCTTGTCAGAAGAACAAAATTTATTTATTGCAGGAGGTTGGAAATTTACCTCACCAAGATCACTTCCATACAGTCCAGAAAGACTGAATGTTGGGTGTCTGTTAGGGCCAGAGATTCTCAGAGCAAGAAAGCAGAGAATGTAAATAAGTGGCTGTCAAACACAACTGTTCAGTCTGAGAAGCAGAAGGAGGACATCGTTTCCACAGGGGAAGATGTGAGAAGAGAAACCTCTCTAGTTGAATCAGGAGGAGACAGAAGGTCTGGATCACATCAGTGCCACCCATTGGGTTACAATAAAGAGTTGTTTCTGGCTATGTTGCTCAAGAATCTCAGAAGCTTCTCTCTACTTCCTGCCTCCCTTGGGGAGCCTGACATTTGGAGGAAGAATGCGTATCCTGAAAGTACAACAGTTATTTCACTTCTAGTTATTTCACTCGGAGACAGAGATTTGAAAGTGGATTAAATAATACAGAAGTGGGATGGAATTTACCAGCAGCGGCTATCCCAACGGTAGAATGATGGAGGTAATGCCACCCACAAGCCACAGGTAGCCCATTCTGGTCTAAAAATGACGGGCTTGTTATGGTTCCTCCCTGCTCTGGATCTGCCCTAAAGGTAATGCCATTTGATTCCCTGAAATATGGTGATAGAGGAGCAGGACCCAAGGAGATGGTATGTGCTGGTGCCGTTGCGACATACCCTAGGCTAGGCCATTCTGCCCTGGTAAGTTCTCCCCTTTGGGACGGGACAAGAACATGACAAGCTGCGCTGAGCATGGTGCCTTTGCGTTTCAGGTGTTGAGTCCTGAACAAACTCCTTTGGCTTTATTCGTGTGTTGGGTAATTAAGAGGCCTTGTTTATAGCAGTTGCTTTTCTCTGTTGGCGGAAGGTATAGAATCCCACAGATGTTTTTACGACATTTCACAAGGCTCAAGGGACAGGGAGGAAATTTCCACTTGCTTGCTTCAGCACAAGCTGTCTGGCTGGCTCCTGGAGGCAGCAGAGGGGGCCCAAGTCTGCTCAAGGAGTAGATGAATGTGGAGAATAGGAGCAGACGTCTTTGGAGGTTCTCCTTCCTCAGCCCAGCTAGCTGATGGGAAGCTCTGCAATGTCAAGCCATGGCAAGCCAGTCCTTCCATGGGGCAGGCAAACCAGCAACTCAAAGGGCAGTCGCTTTGGGGGCGGGGGGCAGAACGGATAGCCCATTGCCGACCTCCCTGCGCAGACTTGGATCAGCTAACCATAGCAG